GGTCCGAGCAGAGGAGAGACGGGCAGGAGCGGCCCGGGGGGCGGCAGGGAGGCGAGCCAGGCAGTCCGCAGCCCGACGGCCGAGTACCTCCTTTCTCCGCTGCTGGGATGTCCGGTAGGTGTTGCCGCTCGCTCGCTATCCGTCTCCTTGGTTTGATGCTTCCTGACCAGCAGGTCTGATGGAAAAGGAGAATAAAACTGGTGACAGCTTCTGAGTAGGTCACCGGTTTCTCCAAACATGTCTGCCGTGCTGCCTCCACTCTCCTGACAGCGAGTTGGATGTGATGCTCCCTGCTCCGGGAGCACCTTCCTGGACGCCGTGGAGCTGTGTCCGTGCAGCTGTCCTGGGAGAAACTGGGTCAAAGTCGATATTCCCTGGTAAAAGAGGCACCAAAGCTTTTGAAACCCTGCCTGGCCTGACAGTCGTCCCTCGCCGAGAGCGGCTGCAACTGGAAGTTTTTGGGTTTGTTAATGGTATCTGGAGAGCGATGAGCTTTTGCACAGAGCTGGCCCTAGGCTGTGTGCAAGCTGATAAACCGGCCTGAGAGTCGAGTTTCTCATGGGGACTTGCCTTCATTTGTGGTCCACGTAAGAGGAGGGACAAGGGTTGCACAGACGGGAAACAAATTACAGTTTTCCAGTAGAAAAATATTCCTGCAGCACATCTGTTCCCAGAGCAGGATGGCATTCCCTGGTGCTCAGGCTGGCTTAAACGGCAGCAGGTTTCCCCCGCCACCGCCGAGGAGCTGATCCATTGGCCTTTGCTTGTAGGAAACTCTTTGAACAGTCCTGTCCTCTGACTAATTTGTTACTGACTTTTCCATCCTGGTTCCCATCGTTTCTATCCTGGTTCCCCTCATTTCCAGCCTGGTGAGGTTAGGATATACTTCATACCCCCCCCCCAAATGGGTTCTCTTTTTGGTCTCTGCTCCTTTCAGCTCCCTCCCAGTTATCCCGTTTCCGCTGCTTCCTCATGGCCTTGGGCCAGTTTGACCTAATCTATGTATAACATACGGTGTCAACAGGAAATTCCCCCCTGCTTTCGCATGACTCATGGAGCAACCTGCGTTCCTGGAGCCTGCCTGTACGGGAGCTGCTCCGCAAGGCACCCGTGATCCTCGCCGCAGGGTGGTGATGGCACTTCTGCTGTCATGTACTTTGTTACTCAGAATAAAAGGACCTCGGAAAGCAGGGTAGGGTGGTTGAGAGGTCGTTCCTGGTGGGACGCAGCCCTGGAAGGGATGCTCTGGGTCTAGGGAAGCTGCTGCCTTTCGCCAGAGCACTGAGCTGGGTCGTGTTTTGCTCCTGCTGTTTGTTCAGGGAGCTTGTCCCAGAACCTCACTCTGTTCCTGTAGCCAGAAAAACTCCTGGAGAAGTTAACAGCCTTGTCTTCTTTCAGCTTAATGAGCTTCCTTCTGCCTGTGGCTCTCATCCCCGCCTGGCATACGGAGACAAAGGTTTCCTCTGCCTTCCCTGCCTTTTTGCCTGTACTGATCAGGCTGGTGGTGTAGCATCTGCTTGTAAGCCGTAGGTCTCCGTTTCATCCTAGACATCTTCTCCGTACTTCTCCCCATCTCTGTTCTTCCTGGAAGATGGATGGTACTGCTGCTCCAGGCGAGCACGTACCCTTCCGCGGCAGGGCTGGTTTTTCACCCTCTGTCAGAAATACTTCATAGACCAAATATCCTGTATATTGTTACTGCAGGGAACGTGCTCTCCCTCTGAGCCCCTCAATGATTTTAGGGGGAGGGACCCGATTGATTTTGGACGTTGTAACCCCACCACTATATAATCCCAGTATTTCCCAGCTGCCAACAGTCCTGTGGAGCATCCCCTGATCGCAGGGAGCCGGGGGAGCTGTCGGCGTGGGAGTGGCAGCATCGCTGCTGGGATTCGGGCTGCGCGGGAGCAGCCCCCGGGGAGGGGTCGCTGTGGGCGTGCGTGTTTGAGGGGCACGGGATGCTCGATCAGTTTGATGATTAATTAATTTATTTATTTTTTTAACAGAAAAGAAAGAGCTGGATCTCGGAAGATGATTTCTACAGACCTTCTCCGGGAGAGAGCGGTGAGAACACGGCCGAAACCAATGGCTTTGGGCCGGAGGGGGCTGGCGAGGGTCCGGCCCCAGGGCTCATTAGCGCTCTGGACTTGGAAAGGCTGTCGGTGCCCTCCTCGGAGAGCGGGAAGCCCAAAACGTCACCCGAACGGGAGCGAAAGGGCTTCAGCGTCGTGCATCGCAGGCAGATGGGTACGTGCCGCCCTCCCCAGTCCTGCTGTCGTCGGGAGTCTGCGCTGGGCAGCGCTCAGGGGCTGGGGGGTGGTTTGGGAAGCGGCCCTTTGCCGTGGCCGAGCTGGTGGCGAACTTAAAAGCTCCAGAAGGCAGCGGAGCGGCTTCCCTTGGCGTTGCTGAGCCCACGACGGTGCTGGTGGGAAGCGTTTTAGGAGGAGTGGAGATAGGTGGGTGCCTCTGTCCACCCTGCAGGACACGCTTCCTTTATGCCATCCCAGTCGTTCTCAGCCTCAAAACCCACATGCAGGTGGACAGGTGATGGGGACCAAGGTCCCGTAAACTCCTGCCCCATCCCACTGTCCACCAGGACCGGCTCTCAAAGCTGTGATGCCTCTGGTTGCTCGCAGCGAGCGGCCCGTTGGCTTTTCTCTCTCCGCTGGCTTCCCCTTTTTTTTTTTTTTTTGGTTAAACTGAAGCATTTGGCTTTTGCCCCAGGTCTTTCCAACCCTTTCCGAGGGCTCCTGAAGCTGGGCAGCCTGGAGCGGAGAGGAGCCATGGGGATATGGAAGGAGTTTTCCTGCGAGCTGTCGCCGCTGGAGCTCCGGCTCCTCCTGGACCACGAGGACCGCATCTGCGTCGAGAGCTATTCCCTGCTGCGGTGCGAGGCGCTGGCGCTGACGCACTCGGACGGCCGTTTTGAGCTGGTTTTCCTGGGGAAAAAACTCTACCTACGAGCTCCTTCGCGAGACGAGGCCGAGGACTGGTTGGACAGGATCCGCGAGGCGCTGCAGAAGTGCCGGCCTCAGCTGGAGGAGGAGGAGGAGTGGGAGACGCTGGAGTATCCCGAAGACGGTGCTGAAGGCCAGCCCATCCAGAGCGACTCCTCTGCTCTTCTCCAGTACAGCGACGTGCCTGGGAACAGCTTTGACTGGACTCCATCCCACGACCCGGAGCTGGATGCAATAAAAGAGGCTGTTCTGTACATGGACGTAGACAAAACCTGGGTCCCTTTTATTTTTTCCCTGTCTCTAGAAACTTTGAAGTGCTTTAAAGTCAGGAGCAACGACAAAATTTTAAGCAACAGTTACGGTATAGAGACCATCCAGGACATCCTTCCAGACACGAGCCTTGGGGGACCCGCCTTCTTCAAGGTGATCACCTCCAAAGCTGTCCTGAAGCTGCAGGCTGAGAACGCGGAAGAAGCGGCCTCATGGCGGGAGCTGGTCCGAGAGGTGCTCATGTCCTACCTGGAGAGCGCGGAGGAGGCGCTGACGCTGGCTGGCAGCTTGGACGGGCACTCCCAGGTCGTCCTGAAGAACATCGTGAAGGAAAACGGCTTCTTGTTGCAATACCTGGTGGCCATCCCCACGGAGAAGGGCCTGGACTCGCAGAGTTTCATCTGTGCAGGTATAGGTTGGCTTGTCCGAAGGCCCAGCTCCACCTTGGGGGATGAGGTGACGTTCATTCAGGTTAACGAGGTGACGTCGGATTGGAGATGCCCTGGGTCCTGCCAGCCTCTTGCAGCCCGGCTGCTGGTTTCCTCATCCAAACCCCAGGCAGCACCAAAGCCCCTCCGTGGGGCTTTGCCTCCCCAGTCGGTGGCACCTTCGATGGTCTGTGTGCGCAGGGCGAGTCCCCCCGCGCTGAATCCCCATCCCACCCCAGCACAGGTCCAACTGGGCTGCTACTGGGCTCCTGTTTAAGGTGTTTATGATACAGACAGCGGGGGTCTGGGCTTGAAGGCGACCTTAGATGGACCAAGAGGCCCCAGACTCTCTTTCTGGGCATTTTGTGGCCCCAGCCTGCGGGGAAAGTGCAATCACAAGAGCAAATGCAGTTTTTCCGGTAATGCAGCACAGGAGCGAATATTGCAATGGGTGTGACGAGCTGGTCTGGCAAAACATTCCTTTAACCTTGCACTGACGCCTCTCGGCACGCGGGGCAGTGCTGGTTTGGTAGGGTAACACTCGCTGACCTCCACGGGAGGTGTAATTTGCTCTTTACTTGGTAATTTAGTTAAACTTTAGATTTCTCTCCTGCTTCAATCGTATTTCTTGTACCCTCCAGCAGTTTTGTTGTTTTTCTTTTAATCTCTTTTTTTTTTTTTTTTAACATACATATTTTCCATTCTGTTTGGGCTCTACCTTCTCCTCCAGGGTCTGTCCCACATCTTCCACCTACCAACAGATGGAAGCAGCAAGCCAAAAAGACAAATTCCCAGTTTTTACGTGTAGGTTTTCCTAGTGGGCTGCCTGCCCCGCTTGCACCTCCCTCCCAGCCTGACGCCCCAGCCTGGCACAGGAGGGGTTTCCTCACATGTCAAGGCATAATGAGCCATAAAAGCTTTTTTTTCTGTTAATTCAAAGAGCCACACCTGACCTCCATGAGTATTTTTGGGGGGCGATGTGGTCCAGCTGCCCCAAAGTGCGAAGGATGGGGTGGCAAAGCTGAGCTGGGTTCCTCCTGGGTTACCCCCTGCTATAATAAAGGGTTTGTTTGGTTTCATTCACCCTCACCTCATCCCTTGCGGACAAGGATCCCTTGCAGAGGTGGCTTTGGTACCCTGTGGCAGCAGCGGGAAAGAAAAGGGCCGAGTGAAGGCAAAATAGGGCAAAGCTACTGGTGGAGGTGATGGGGCAGGCAAGTGGGATCTAGGTTCTTCCCTAAGCCACTGGGATGTTTCCAGAATTCACTTTTCCTAAACAAAACGAAATCAAAACCAAAGCAGTTGAGACACTTGATGGATAAAAGACTCCTTTGGACCATCGTGGTCTTAAATCACGGCTCCTCACCTGCAAGGAAGGGCTGCGGACCTCTCACCGAGCACCCCGCACGTGCTTTAGCTGATCTCCAGCCCTTCCAAAAAGTTTCCTGTTCGGTTTCCCCCCCCTCCCAAAAGTTTCTCCCCCCATCCTGAATGGGAACAGGCTCTCGGGGCAGCACGGGTCCCCTCTCATCGCCTCCTCTCTGCTCCCTGCAGGCTGCTCCAGGCAGATCGGCTTCTCCTTCGCGAAGCCCAAGCTCTGCGCCTTCTCCGGTCTCTACTACTGCGACAGCTGCCACCGGGATGATGAGACGGTGATTCCCTCACGCCTCATCCACAACTGGGACCTGACGAAACGAGGGGTGAGTCCGGGCTGGGTCGGCGTGGGGAGCAGGGAGGTGCTCCTGCGTCTGCCTACGCTTCCTGAAGGTCCATCTGACCATTTCCCCCGTCAGCAGAGGTGGGGGTGTCCACCCAACACCTCCCTCCGAGCCTCCTGGGCTGCTCCTTGGTGCATACCCACTTCTTGCCTCTCTCTGCCCCAGGTTTGCCGGCAGGCTTTGAAGTTCCTCACCCAGATCCGTAACCAGCCGCTGATCGACCTGAAGCTGGTCAACGAGAGCCTCTACGACCACGTGGAGAGGATGGGACGGATCCACCGGAGCAGGGAACAGCTGAAACTGCTGGGAGATTATCTCATCATGTGCCGCAGCGGGGCCCTGAAGGAGCTGAGCAAGCGGTGAGGTCCCTCTCTGGGTGATGTTACCCCCACATCCTCCTCTTTGCACCCCGATGGTCTCCCGGTCCTCCTCATCGCTCGCTGTTGGAGCGGGGAGCGATGCTGCCGAGGCAGGGGCTGGTTTTTAGCTCCATGTGGTCTGCTCTGAGGAGCTCTCCGGCTGTTGGCTGGGTTGACCCATGGAGATGTGACTCAGGAAACACGTTCCTGACCGAGGAGCTTCTGGCTGGACGAGAAACACCTGGGAAAATGGACGAGAGATTTGTTTTCTTTTCTCCCCCTTTGAAATGCTCCCACACGGTTTCCAGTGGCAGGATTTGGGTTGTGTGGCACAACGCGGAAATCAGGTCTGCGGTGGTTTTCTTCAAGAATCTGCATCATCCAGCGTCCTCCTTGCTCCGAAGCTGTTGGAGGTGCGGTGGAAACCATCCACCACCTTCCTCTCTGTGCTTCTTTGCAGGCTTGATCACAGGCATTACCTCTTGGAGTGTCCCCACAAATACAGCGTCGCTGATCTGAGGCAGGTGAGAGCTTTGCGTGGTCGTAGGGGTTTTGCTGGTGAAAAATCTGCGGAGACACGGCGTCGAGCGTGGTGCTCCCTCAGCAGGAGGTTTCAGACAGCGTCGCTTTCCTCTTGCCGTGCTCTCACCCATCACGTGCACTCTGCAGGCTCGCACAAACAATTGCCTTTATTTTAATTTGTCAGAATAATTGGCACAGGCCTGTATTCTCTGAGAACTGCAGAGATCACACGAGATAAGTAGTTTCACCTCTGCCTAAGCCAGGGTGGCTGCTGGCACGTCTCTGTGCAAACTCGTATCTATTGCCAGTAATGTTGGAGGGGGTGGGTGGCTGGATTTTGTGTTGATTCCAAAGCCAGGAGACCCATCCCAGCAGGTTGTGGGTGCTGCTGTCAGCGACCCAGGCAGGTGGGGTGGGGGTTGGTTTTGGAGGACAGCCTCGTCTTCACGTGGCAGCACAAAGAATGGGTCTAACGTGGATTTTGCGAGGTGCAAAGGGCTCCGCGAGTGCCTGACGTGTCTCTGCTCTGCAGATAGCCGACGGCGTCTTTGAGACCTTCCTGCAGTCTCTGCTCCAGTTTGCTTCCCATCACGTCTACAGCTGCGACCTGTGCACCCAGCGCGGCTTCATCTGCCAGATCTGCAACAGCAGCGACATCATTTTTCCCTTCGAGTTTGACTCTACCACCAGGTGAGCGACGGCGCCGTCACGTCCCTCTGCTGCGAGGCCGCCCCAGCTGGTGGCGTGGCCTTTCCCAGGAGCCTGGACCATCCCCTGGGTCCCTCTCGGGGGACACGTAGCCTTGGGGTGGCCGGGAAATAGCTCTGAGCTGGTTGTTCATCCTCGTGGTACCCGTGTCCTCGTGGTACCCATCGGCCCCAAGATGATCTGAACCAAAACTGGGCCGTTTGGGGCAGGAGAGGCCCACCCTCACAGGGCCGAGGTGTCCCCAAGCGAGGTGGCATTGCAGAATGAACGTGCAGAGCCACCCAGCACCTTGCTGTCAGCCTGCACCCACCTGGTGCTGGGTCCCAGGGCAGCAGAGGGGCTGGGGGGGAGGAGGAGGAGGAGGATGAAGATGCTGTGGACCCCTGCCTCGCACACCTGGCCGACCCATCTCCCATGCAAATTCAGTCTGGCCCCTTCCAGGAGTGGCAGGAGGGAAGGAAAAGCAGCAAGTGGGGCTGTTCACACCCCTCTGCAACCAAGGAGGACACGGATTTGGAGATCAACGGTGGGCAGCCCTGTGGGATGTGCTGGGGAGAGGCTGGGGACGTCCCCAGCAGGACAGCGGGGACGCTGGCTTTCATCTGGGTCTTCCTCCTGCCCGTGGAGCTCCTCGCGCCCTTTGCGGGCAGGGT